GTGAGGTGGGGTGGTAGATAGTGACAGTCCTGCTTCCTCATTAGATCTTTTGTTATTACAGCAGCTTCAGCAGGCCCCTCACCTGGTGCAAGATGCAGATCAGCTTAAGAGGGCTAAAGAGCATTAGAGGATTTTCTTCAGCGTAGGGGATGTGAGGGGGCAGCTGCCAGGCCAKCCTGTGAGGGCAGTTTGTGTGTTCACATTTGAAGGAGGGATGTGGGGAGTGCCAGAAGCCAGCAGAGTGTTGCMAAGTGGGGGTTGATGCTTGCTCAGGTTTTGGAAGCTGAGCGTTGGGCAGAGCAGAGGTGCTGCCATGCAGATGWRACTTGTGCCTGTGTGAAACTGGGCACAAGTCTCACACAGTTCCTTGGTAAACTGGGGACTTTGGAGTAGCTCAAGTAGGGAATCAATTTAAGGACACTGTAACCCATGCCTTTTTGTTCAGAGATCCTCTATTGCATTAAAACCAATTTGGCCTCCATACTGCTGTTGCTGTACATTCTTGTGCATGCACCAGCCAGTGCTGGTGTGGTGGGAGCTAGGGCATCCATTCTCATAGCTCTTCAATATATAATATGTACAAACAGCAGCRTTCTCAGTGGCCTTCACAGTGCCAAGGTTTTCTGCACTGAATGGAGATTTTTATTAGTAGTCCTGACAGCACACTTGTCTTAAGGAACAAAATGTGCTTGGTTTAGCTTGTGTGTGCTTCTTGCATGGTTAAAATCATGGTAAAATCTTTGAAGGGTCAATGCTGAGCAAAGTTTCCACATGTGAGCAAGTCAAGGTAAATATCAGGAGATAGCATACAGCTAAATATGAGCAGCTAGTGCAGTTCTAACAAGACCTACTTTGTCCACAGGACCACCTGAGACATCATTTGAGCTGAAAATTAAAGAATGCTTGTGTAGGTGAATTGGTGGGGTGTTTGTGGTCTTCCTATCTTGAAGTCRGTGTGACTTATATCACTAGCTTCAGGGGAGACTCATCCTACCCTGGACCGAGATTGTCTGTTGCCAACATAGAGCTCTGCAGAGCTATTAGAGCATTAACATGAGCCGTTTTCCTGACGGGCTAAGCTTGTGAGATGACTGATGACCTCTAATTCCTGCCTCTAACTGGGGGATTTTTACATGTCTGGTTTGTCCATTCCCTGATCATTTACAGTGGGATGAATTTCCTGAGATGTTTTCCATATTCCATCAGGAATTAAATACTAAATATGAACTCAGAAAGAAATCAAAGTGATAAGGTCTAGGATGAACTTTTTATCCAGAAATATTGGGCATGCTTTGAGAGTCTGGAATGGATAAATCTGGGAAATAAGAAAACACAAAACATTGCTTGGATGTTGATTTAAAGATTAAATGTCTCCTGGAAAATCTTATAGGATATCACCTGTATCAAATGAGTTAATGACTGTAATGGGGTGACACTGACACATGAACAAGGGGTTTTGAGAATATGCTTGTCTCCAATTTAGAAGAAAGCTTCTCATCTGTGGAGCAGCAGGTTCTGCTAAGGGACTTCCACGAGGAGGAGCAGGGGCAGTTACTGGCGAAAAGGAGAGGGATCAGGTCAGGAGGGACCAGGTGATGTGGCTGTTTGTGCTAGCAGGGGACTCTGGTAATTGCAGAGATCTTCATCAGACTTACAGATATGTGCCCTGGCCCTGCTCTGCTGTTCTTGTTTGGGTATGGAGGACCGTGCTTCTTGTGGGCGAGGGCACTGCCTCTGTTTGGAGGCAGCCACCTGCAGCTCCACAGCCCGGTGTTGCTGTCCCTGACCCATGGGCTTCACAGGACAAAGACATCATACGCTCAGGTGTCCTGCTCACCAGAGATTCCTCCAGCTGCATGCATCCCCATGGTGACACCAATGCCAAACCCCAAATTGATGCTGAAATACTGCCCATATTCTCCTCGTCCTAAAGTCACTTGACAAGCAGAAGACAAGCCAAAGAGCTA